GGGGGGGGGGCCGGAGGTTCAAGCTTCTGTCCCTTGAACCCCCAAAACACGCCCCTGCCCCTGCAGAGGCCTGTGCACGCCACTGTTGTCATATTAGTAGCATGCATAATTGTCAGTCACTAACTGGCAAATATAGTAATTTGTGGGTTTGACTCTTCTCGTTGGTCAACTGTTTTTCTAAGTGCTTTTTTATTATCCACTTTTATGAAGGAAGGCATAAACAACCAGTGTATATGCATGTACTGTTGAGTTTTGATGTTCTCTTTGACTTCTGAAACCTAAGATTATAGCAAGTATACTTTGATACTGAGAGTAGAAATGGGCACTTACATTATATCTGTGCCACAGTGACTCATCCGTTGTGTTCATTAAGGTATGCTCACAGAAAATATAGCTTATTTAAAATGGATGCATCTAGATAATACTATTATGAATTATATTGTGAGACAATATACAGTAGGTCCCCTTTTTCCATGTGTTCTTGTTTTATTCAAGTAAGCTTTTTAGCACTTCCAGTTCCAGTTTGTCTTGATGTCAGTGGGGTTTTTTTTTTACAGGATTTTGAATAAATGTCTGAAATTAGGTCTGTGGTTAACAGAACCTCAATATATTTTCATGTTTAATTCTATAACATACAATACATTAGTAATAGGCCCTTGTGATTTTTTTTAAAAGCTGTGGTCAAGTGGTCAGTGAGACTACAGAGGTTGTCGGGAACATTAAACGTCATCACCTTGACCGTCATAACTCAATCCTTAAGGGCAATTTTTACAAAAAATATAGAACTGTCAGAAGCTTAGTAATGGTGACACCGAAGTCTCGCAACTTTCACTTTGATGTGGCACCTTCAACATAGTATAGTGGCACACCAATTCTTACAAAACAGGAAGCATATGCTGTTATTCATCTGCAAGTTTTGCATTGTTTGTAATGCCCAGTATACATTGTATATGATTTTGGGCTGTCCCAGATAAAAGATGACCATCATGAAACAATTGTGGTCATTTCTTTCGTCATGGCTCCTAAACGGTGGTCCTACGTCATACTGTGAGAGACAGCCGTTGTCATGGTCCTGCAACCAAAGATAGTATGTGATCATTTTCTAACAGTGTCAGAAATAGGATGACCATCTCACAGTGTTTGCTGCTATGACCATCATCTACTAATAAAACTGCAACATGAAAGGACATATTGATCAATGTGACATAGTGATAAAACATAAATGCCATGGAGGCTGAAAGCCCTAAAAGGAATCCCGTATGTGGGATTCCAAGGAATTTATCATCTGCCTCCGCCAGCTCCTCTTCTTTTTTTTCAGTACGCATGATGACGTTTTATTCTTATATATTAACTTGCAATTTAATACATGTCATCATTGTACAGTCTACATGTCGTACCCAAGTTTATTAGATCTATGTCACACAGTGTGATTTGTAATGATCTTACAAGACTGCTGAAGTCTTTCTGTCTTTCTTTCGCACAGTCTGTAGAAGGCTTCAGATGACACACATGACATGAAAATGTATTTTAAAATACAAAATACTGTGTGGAAAAATGCATTTAGATACAAATATAAAATAATGTGTGGAAAAAAATTATTTAAATACAAATACAGTATTTTGAAAATACCCAAAATACATGTGAAATTGGCCATCCAGTGCAGGTAACTGTATAGGCTGAAATCTGTCTGGACCTATTCTGAATACAAAAAAAAAAAAAAAAAAATTGTTCAACCGCTTAGAAACTTTTGTTTTCATTTTACATACCTCTTCCCTTCCCCTGCCCTGTGGGAAATACAAAAACTACTTTTTTATATTTATTTCATGTGAAGTTTTTGTTGTATATAATTTTTTTAAATAAAACAATAGAATTCATTTCTATAGCATTCAACACTATTTGCTCAAATGTTTTTTTTTTTAAGATTTTATGTAGTGTCCCATTCATCAGTGTCTTCACAAATGCACACAATCACTACACTAAGACAGACAGTGATTAACCTAATTCTTTTTGTAAACAAACATTTGCATAGATGGGTGAACACAATCACCTGATTTTGTAAACGTGACAAATTTGTCATAAAGTACCAAGTTTGCACTTGTCTAAAATTTAAAATGCTTACATTTACAAAATGAACCTTCAAATAATGAATACAATAACGGTCTGTGTTTAATACAAACATTAAAAAAAGAAAATGTTTAATGAATAAAAAAAAACATATATAAAAGAGTATTGTTCAGTTTACTGTTATACATATGATATCATATTAATATGTTTTGTTCTAATGTCACAAGTCATATTCTCAAGTTTACTGGGTTTTACATGATTCTTTGATTCATTTGTGTAGATTTAAGAAGTACTCAAAAACATTTTTACATCCAAAATGATCCACAACCTAATCAGAAATCCATTTATTCACAAACATCTCACGAAACGATTTTTTGACAAACTACTCTGCAACCTCTTCTCACCACTGCTTTCTGATGGTTTGGAGAATATGCAGACTGCAAACTGGTGTGTCTTACCAAATTATTTTAATAGCAACATTTGATGTGGATCAAAACCTTTCATCAAAGTTGTCCTAAAACCTAAACCCAAAATGCATTCTTATCTTAGGACAACTTTGATTAACTTTTTTGATCCACTTTAAATGTTGACTACTGTATATTATCTTAATTATGAACACCCTGGTTTGTAGTGCAAACAGTTTTATCATTTGTTACACGTTGTTATTGTTCTCTTTATTTCCTACAGTGGCTAATCGCACATTCACAGTTGTCGGTGTTCCACTTCGTCTTGGAGCCCGCATACAAAAAACTGCCTGCCAACATGCAAGTGGGAATTTAAATTTCCTTTCGCGGCATACTGCACTTATAATAAGTGCAACTGTGCCAAGCACATCACATTCTATTACTCATTCGTCCATGCTTCTTTTTCCACTCCAACATTCCAATAATTCCAATAAAAACAACCGATTAACTATCAAAACTGATTGACTAACGCTATTTTTCCCTTGTCGGTGCTCTTTTATTCTTTCATGTTAAATGAAGGCAAATCTGAATTATGCACTATTTTAACTTTAATCAACAAGAACATCTGACCATGACATCCGCACCTTATCTTATTCCAGAAAAGCTGCTCACCCAATGCTGAATGGAGTTGTACAGCTGCAGCTCGCATTATGAATGTACAAAATAGTAAAATACAAAAGATAAATACAAAACAGTATTTTGTATTTTAAATACATGTATCTGACATATTGAGACATACATGAGAGACAATATACAGTAGGTCCCCTTTTTCCATGTGTTCTTGTTTTATTCAAGTTAGCTTTTTAGCACTTCCAGTTCCAGTTTGTCTTGATGTCAGTGGGTTTTTTTGAACAGGCTTTTGATTACATGTCTGAAATTGGGTCTGTGGTTAACAGAACAGAAGACATACTGCCCATCCCTGCATGACAGTGTAAAACATAGAGAAAATTACATACAAAGGCATATGAAACAAGTCAAAAGATTTTTGTGTGTCCTGATTCGAATGGAACACCAAATTTTGCTGGTCTTGCTCTTTTCAGGTACAACACTGAAGACATCTATCATAATAATATAGTATAATTTAAAACAAAATCAGACTTTTACTATCTGCTACATCCTATAAAATATCAAAGCAAAGAAAGTACATATGGGCCTTGCATGGTATATCATAACAGGACAAGCTTCTCCCTTGTGCATCTGCAAATGCTTTGCCATTGCAGTCTGTTTTATGTGATGGTAAATATGATTTCAAGCACCACACTGGAAATGTCTCACAGCATACAGTTTAAATGCATACAAAACATTAAACCATAGTTATCTATACCATCTGTCAGGGGCCTTCAGCTAAGTGTCCCGACATCTGTAAAACTGAACAGTGCGTGAATGTGTGAAATAAACAGACACGAGAAATATGT